CAGCTCCTAATAGCCTGGAAAAGCAGTGGAGGATGGCTTAGTTCCTGGGGGCCCTGAACCCATGTGAGAGATTGGAAAGGAATTCTTGGCTCCAGTTGCAGAAGTGTGGCTAACAGGAAGTAAATCAGCAAATAAGTCATTTTTATCTCTCCTTTCTCTATACGTTTGCCAAATAATTAATAATTTTCTAAAAAGACATTTTTTATTAGTCGTTTTAACATGAAAGTGACTGGTGCAATGGCTTATCTATCACCTCTAAGTGCCACAATCCCATATGGGCCCTGGCTGCTCCACCTCCCATCCAGCTCCCTGCCTGTGCCCTGGAAGAGCAGTCAAGGACCACCCTGCACCCGCGTGGGAGACTAAGAAGAATCTCCTTGCTCCTGGCTTCAGATTGGCTCAGCTCTGGCCATTGGAGAGCGAACCAGTAGATGGAAGATCTTTGTCTCTCCTCTTTGTAAAATCTGACTTTCCAAGAAAAAAAAAATAAGACTCAAAAATATAGTTTATATATGGGCTGGAATGGTAACTTAGTAAGCTAGTCCTGCATCTGCAGCACCATTTGAGTGTTGATTCACATCCAAGCTGTTCTACTTCAGACCCATCTCCCTGCTTATGGCCTAGGAACACTGCAGAGGACGCCCAAGGTGGGGACTAGCCCAGCTCCAACCTTGTGGCCTAGGAACACTGCAGAGGATGGCCCAAGGATGGGAGTAGCCCAGCTCCGACCTTTGGAGCCATTTGGGGATAGAACCAGCAGGTGGACAATCTCTGTAATCTGACTTTCAAATAAAATAAATCATGAAAAATGCAAACAGATAATAGTGTAAAAATGGCAATAGATAACAGTACGTAAGCAACTTGAGCCTTACAAATTAATCCTATCACCACAATCATTTAAATAGTTATTTCTATACTTCGAAAATCCAAAAAATTGATTGTTACAAGAACAGAATACTACTAACTAAAACCTACATTAAAATTCTTAGAAGAAAGTCACACCAGTTCACAAATCTTTTCCAAAGGGCAATTACAGTACTTAAAAATGGGGGTCTTATGAGCATGCTCAGTACTGAAGGCTGATTAGAAAGGAAACAAAGGCAAGCCTTGTTCCAATTACCATTCTAAGGAAGAAACTGTGCCTTAATTCCCAACTCCCTCCAAAAGGGCTCTATCCCAACTCCAACCCAGTTACACATAGTGGTAATGACTATACAGCGAAAATGCTTAATGAAACAAGACTGCACTTACGTCTATTTAGATTGGTAAATTACTATCCCAACAATTACTGGATTACTATGAAACGCCTAATGCCATAAGGGAAGGAGAAAATATTTGAGTCTTGTTTGAACCTATGTTAATTTTCTTAAATGAATAAATATTAGGCAGAGTTGTTTCTTGGGACTGTACTCTCAACTACACATGATAGACACTGAAGTAAGCTGGGAAACGATTCTGACTTCTAAACTCCCTATTCTTTATTTAAAAATAGCATAATAAGGCATACTAATTGATAATCCTTTCAGTTTTAAAATTTCTACATCTATGAAGTGTAGGCAACCTGTAACCACAGGAGTCTTCCACCTACTGGGTCAAAGCCCAGAACAGTAACGACGCACACTCCCTCTCTCCTGACAGCTGGCATGTTATCAGCCTTCTGCCTACTTCCCAATTCCCACAGATTTGCCATTTCCGTTATACCTTTCAATAGCAATAAGTACAGTAAAACAAATTTCCCCCAACTTACAATTTGTCTTCATCCTTTCCGGAAAATTCCCTGTTCAAGGTCAGCACCAAGCACAGATCCTTCCAGTAAAACATGATCAACATTTGTTCACCTCTTCCCTAAGTACTAATAAAAGTAAACCAACTTAAGGGAAAACAAATTTTAGATTCAATTGTAGATTTCCTAAGGTATTTACTAGGTTTTTTCAATTTCCAACTCAAGTTACTCTGTTTACAGAAAAGTGAAGGCATTGTGGCACAGCAAGTTAAACTGCAGCCTATGATACTGGCTTCCCATGTGAGCAGTGGGCTGCTCCAGCTGGTGCCCTGGGGCTTCAAGGAGACCCAGATGGAGTTTCAGGCTCCTGGCTTCAGCTTGGCCCAATCCCAGCCATTTGGGAAGTAAAATAGCAAGTGAAAGACCTCTGCCTCTGTTTTGACATAAACCTTTTGAAAAACTGGCTATGTTCCTCAATGGAGCCAGTTTTTAGAAAGGCAAAACTGAAATAGATGTGCAACTCAAGAATCGCAGCCCCACTAACGTTCACTTCCTTGCTTAGTCTCGGTGCCACGCCGTCTACAATCCTTCACAAATTCCCGCCCCTTGCACATAGTACTCACTTAGCGTTACCGTCCTGTGAATGCGCTTCAGGCTAGCACAGCCTAGTACTTCAAAGACATCTTACAGTTTTAGATTCCTGTGCATAAATTAGTCATGTCCCTTTCAAATCAAGAGCCAGGTTTCTCGACTGTCAATTCTAGAAAACAGATGCCTTTCTAAAGCTTCAAATGTCTAAAACGAAAAACATGCTTAACATTCACAACTGCTGCAGCACCACTCGGTTTCTCCCTTGATCATCTTTTTAGTCACTTAAACAATTGAATATTTGGCCTAAGCCCAATTCCTTCCCAGTATGGGAAAAAATACCCACTTGATGTATCTCCATACATTTCAAAGTAAAACTCTGGTAGCTACTCAACTATAGAGTTTACTGAACAAATTTATCTATTTCCTTAAGAAACTTCTACTTGAATACAACTTTAATAAACAGCTACAGAGATTCTTTAGATCCTAGCAAGAAGGCCGAGAAGCAAGATGTTTAAAACTTCTCTTGGGAAAATATCTAATGAAACATGCCAAGCTTTGAGTTTATAAGCGACCACAAACTTGTGATTCTACCTCAGTCCTTTGCACAAAGGTATGTTCTATAAAACTGCATATATTACGTGTGCACTCAATAGTCAGGATTTCATGTCTTTTAAAACCAAGTATGCTTTATGCTTCAAGAGCACACTTGCCAAAGCAATTGTAGAGCAACATCTACTGTCAAAACCATCTACAGTTACACTTCTGACCTTCATATAAATGTAGATTTTGAATGATCAAAAATACCTAAGCAAGCTTATTATTCTACTCAAAATTCATGTAGATTCTAACTTATAACCTCTCCATTAAAACTTCATTTAACCTGTTTTAAATTTTTCTTAATACTAAGTTTAATGATATTTGTTTCTGTTTGCAGGAAAGAATATGTGCTATTCCAAATGAAACAGTTGGATTTTTTTTAATTGTGTGTTTATTATCATCAAAAAGCATTGATTGAGTTTCGGGGAGCAAAATCGTGCTCGTAGAGAAACTGGTCACTATCAAGTCCATAGCTTTAGGGAAGATGATAGACTATCAATTTCCAACTTCCATTAATCTATTTCATTATTAACTCCTTTGTAACCACAATTATTTCAAATTGGATTTAAAAATTCACAAAAAAGGCAATTTACTTAAATATTTAAATTTTCAGTGTCAAAGTATTATCAAAGGTTAGACACAACGTTTGAAAATCTTAAAGAAAAAATACTCGTAATAAATTTGCCTCCACACAGGATCATATACATTTTTTACTAACAAGACAATACTAAATATAGAGTCAGTTATCAAAACTTCAGGACGGATTATACAGAAAAAACAGCAGGCTGAATAATTAGCCACAAAAACACAGTGAAGTAATGAGCTAGAACTTCCCAAATGCAAAAAAAAAAAAAAAAAACATGAATATTGAGATGAAAAGTATATAAAGTAAAATCCGCATATTTATGAGAAATTAGCAGGAGCAGGATATCAAATCCAGAAACATAGCAGACCTCCGTGCTACAAAACCTCATTTTAAGAATACACCAATTCATCTCTGAATGTATCTGATATTCCCCAATAGGGTAAATGGCAATAAATGTAACTGAGTTTTCATTTGCTCAACACTATTACAAAGAATAATTTCTTCCATCTTGAAATTTTTCAAAGCTTTTTGAGAAACACACACAAATAATTTGGATTTAGTTAATTTTATTTACAGCTTTGTTTCTTTTTTGTTTACATTTCAGAGCATTACACAATTACATTTTTTCATTTTCTGACCTGCAAACAGATACCTTAAACGGAAATAGTTTCTTTAAAAAATTATCAAATTAGGTACATCCAAAATGCAACAATTACACATGACAATTCACAGAGTGTAATTCACTAGGACGGATCCTACGAATTCAGGAACAGCCAGTCAGCAGAAACCTGACCAGATGTAGTAACCAACCATTTATATATCCAGAAATCAAACCTATCTAAACTCCCAAACTAAAAGCTTGAAAGTTTTTGTGAAATTCCCAATAGTGATAAGTAAAAACTATCCATTACAGTCTCGACGCAAACAGTGGGCTGAGTCCCCAGTCCGTAAATGAATAGCAAGCATCTCGGTCTGAAAACCTAGGTATCAAACTTTTACACCGTTCTGTGCATAAAAAGGCTGTTCATTAACTTACAAACAAGTAGTCATTAAATACCCACACTGTCCTCCCAGTTCAGCAGCCCTGACTAAACTCCCAAGTATGCACCCCATGTCACACAGTGACAGGATATAGTTCATAGATTTGTGTGTGTACATATCTATACACATGTGTGTCTAGACGTGCACACACACATTGAAAATTAGGTATAAATGGCAATTAACAGTCCCTGCAAAAATTCTATTTCATTTGAGGCTATGGCTCCTATGCCTTGGGATGGTTTTAGATTTCAAAACTGAAAAATACTACCAAGATCTCACGACAAAATTATGATCTCATTTTCAATTTAAGCTTCTCAGTCTAAAAATGGCTATTAGGTGAGTGTTTAAAAAAAAAATCCAGCCAACTGTGTCTAATTTCTCCAATTTGGCCGAGCTAGCTCACAGAAATTATTCCAAACTAGACCAGAAAACCTGTGGCGCCTTCCAGTGGTTCTTGCCTACCTTACTGTCCATGCTCACGTTTCAAACTGTGTCAGCAGAGCCCGCACTTCGGGGGTCAGCTGCTTGGCAGCCGTGGCCGCCTCTGTGATAGCCTTACGGTACAGGCCCTTTCTCTTCTTATTAAACCGTGACTGGAAGTTCTCTAAGAAGGGAGAGAGTTGTGCAAGAGCAAGGAAGGACGTTGTCGGAGACCCAAACCAGGAAATCCGGGCCTCCTGCCGGACTAACAGGCCATTATCTTTCCGGCTCACAGTTATAGTGAGAATACGGGCTGGCCACCAAGGAAAGCCATATATCTTGGCCCAAACAATGTCCCCTACACATATGGTCCTGCCATCTGGTGTGACGCATTTAGAGACGTTTTTGGAAAAGATTTTCATTTTCAAGGAATTACTGAGCTTTTTCTCTTCCTTTGAAGAGGAGGTGGTGGAGGAGGTGGAAGGTGTGTGCACACTGCCTGGAGGAAAATCAAAACTTTCAGAAGAGCTACACTCAGAGTTGGAAGACTTCAGATCATCTGTGCTATCAATGCTACACACGGAAGCACTGGAAGAGTCGGATTTCGTTTGATTTAGGGTCATGTAAACAGAGAGATTGCTTTTGCTGCCCTTTTTGCCCAGTGGCTGTGGCTCCTCCTGCTCACCAGGTACATGAACCTCCTCCCTGCTGGCCTCTTGGGGGCCGGCCGAGGGCCTGGCATTTTCGGAAGGGGCCTCACCTGCTGAGCGGGTAGAGGTGCAGCGGGACTGGGGCTTGCCACTCCGCATTTTCTCCAGTCCCGTCTTCAGAGAGGAGTCATTTTCTTCATTCCTGTACCGCTGCGGTTTCAAGCGAACCCGGGGAGGAAGGGAACCTGAGCTGGGGCTCTGATAGCGCCGTGTGAAGTGGACTTTTGAATGAGCATTTTTGGAAGTGGAGGTTTCACTTTGCTTCTTCTGCGCCTTTTCTTTGGCCATTTTCAACACTTCCCGGGCCTTCGCGTGGTCCATGTTCTTGCTCTGCAGCACTTTCTTAGCATTTAACTGACCTTTTGACGTATTCGCCTGAGCAGACACCTTGACTACTCTGCCTCTGCTGTGTGCAAGACTGGAAACCTTAACCACAGCGTTCCGTTTCTGGCTTTCATTTTGGTTTTTCCCATCCACCTTATGGTCAGTTTTCAGTTTTTTGTTCACAGTAGTTACACTTTCATGTCTCCGCTTTTTGTCCTCGTATTTAGAAGAGTCACTTGCACTACTACCTTTTCTAATCTCCTTTTTTTCAGCAACAACACTGTTTTTACACTTATCACAGAGGACTTGCCTGGGGCGTAGTTTAATAGCATTCATGATCGAAGTGGGTTCTTCCCTGTACATTTTTCGCTTGGGCCGCTTAATTTTCCGAGGAGGTGGCTGAGGTATTGATTGGTTATATGTGTCCCTGATGAACAAAGGGGGAGGGTAAGGGGCTCCTTCGTGGAAGAGAGGCGGTGGTTTGGAAGTCCACAGGCTGCCAGCCAAGCTCAGCTCCGCAGCTGGGACGGGCAGGGGGCCCGCAGGAACAGCACCGTTCACCTCGCACTTGATTTCTGTCCCTTCCTGGAATGTGTTACTGTGGAGCTGCATGGCTTCCGGTCTATCCTTATATTCCCTTTTGGGAAATACTGTCACAGGGATCCCGTGAGGCCCAAACCTTTGAAGGAAATAAAACAGAGGTCATCAAGTTAGTAATGTAATTGTTTAAAATTAAACACCACTTACTGTATATGACCTTCTCCCCGCCCCTCCAAGAAAAAAAAAACTAGTTCATATTAAATAAAACTGCAATATTAAAGTCTTGTGGCTAATCTCTGCAAATTCGCACACTTCCACTTATTTTGTTCTCTCATTTGAGGTTAAAACACAAATACTCCAAATGCTTACTCTAAGCAATACCAGAATAACTAATTTTACCTGAAACAAACCAACCATTCTAGCTCTGAAAAGATGCTTGGTCAGCTTACCAGCTAATGTCACGCGACACAGCATTCACTGAAGGATACTTAACATTACTTAACATTTTCAGAAAATGTGAAGCATAAGATAACCAAGGGCCCTCCTCTAACTGCTTTCCAAATTTCCAACTCAAATTCGCCTATTCCTTGGACTCCATCAGTACTTTAATTCAGAGTAGAATTCCATGTTCCCTGTAGTGATAGATGGCCATAGAGTCCATGAAAAGTTGCTCCTTTCCTCTGGCATCCTAACTCAGGACCCTCAGTTTTCCCACGGAGAAACTAAAAATGCCACAACTGAATAACCTCAGATTGCCACCAAGCAGAAACACTATAAAGCTTTCAAAATCATATTCCTTGTTAAGAAATACTGTCAAAAAAATAAAAGTATTCTCTGGGGACTGGAGCTGCAGCACAGTGGGTTGAGCCACTGCTTGCAATGCCAGCATTCCGTTAAGTACCAGTTAGAAGTCCCAACTGTTCCACCTCATACCCAACCCTGTTAATGTGCCTGGGAAAGCATCACACATAAGGGAGGCCTAAAAGCAATTTCAGGCTCCTGATTTCAGTTGCCAATGTCCCACCCACTGAAGCCATTTGAGGTAGATCTGTGTCTGCCTTCTCTGGCTTTCAAACTAATAAACAAATCTTGAGGTCAGCTTTGTGGTACAGCAGGTAGAACCGCTGCCTGTGATGCCGACATCCAATATGGACATCAATCCAATCTACTTCTGATCGCCCCGCTTGCTAAGCTGCCTGAGAAAGCAGCAGTAGACAGGCCAAGAGCTTGGCTGCCTGCACACGGGAGACCCAGGAGAATCAACCTCTCTTACTCCCTTCTCTCACTGTAATAGCACCGTTCAAATGAATATATTGAAATTTTTCCCATTATGATCCAAATGCTTCAAACAGCTGATAGAAAGTGGACCTAAAACGTATTTTTGGTGCAAAAGTTTTGAAATCCATAGTTTATCCTAATAGGTTATGGCCCAAAAGTTACATCCTATACATAACCTTATGATATTTGTTGATTTTTCTTTCTAATCTACTTCATTCATTCTAATAAAGACCACTGAAGTTGATTACAAAACTCCCTTACGGATCTACAGTTTGGTGATTTTGGTGATGATCTGTCTGTCTTTAAAGGCAGAGTTAGAAAAGAGGGATGGGTTCTCTCCCCCACGACTAACTGCTGGAGATGGGCCTGTCTGAACCCCGGAGCTTCCTCCAGTTCCCCCACATAGCTGCAGGGGCTCAAGAATCTGGACCATCTTGTGCGGCTTCCCCAGGCACATTAGCAGGGAGCTGCATAGGAAGTGGAGCAGCTGGCATGTGGAATGCTGCCACAAGACAGGAGCTTTACCCCACGATGGCACACAACCAGCACACCTATACAATACACAGAGAAGAGTAAGATTCCAATGAAATAGGGGGTCAATCAACCTCACTAGGTTTATAAATAGCTAAGGGTTTGGGCCGGCACCATGGCTCCTCTTCTAGGTGCTGGCACCCCCTCTCAACCTCGGGCTCCCAGAAAGGTTCAGAATACCTGTGTTAGGACGGAAGGAGCTTTCACATTACTTACTTACAGACACAGCTCAACAGGGAGAGGAGGAGAAAGGATTCTACATACATACACTGTATGCCTGATTCTAAGGCCTTAATACTTGGATTTCTAGTCTGTTAATGTGGCTTTCCCAATTCAACAAATTACAGCTAATGTTTCTGAACAATAAAGGAAGACAGCAGTTGAGTACGGCTTAGTTCAAGCAGGAATGGGTTTCGTCCTCATGCAGACTCTGCAGAGTTGCTCTTTATTTTACCATCACATGCTAACAGTTTGCTTCCTAAATACATAGCATTATAATCATTCAAACTTTTCTTGTATACATCTTTTCAAGATGAAAAGCTCAAAGTGTTTCTGTGTTTTACTATCATACAGTTGTATGACTGATCTGAAGTCAGGTCACTACTTCTATCAGCACATTTTTCTAATTCATAAACCACACAAGGTTTCCAGGGCCTAAGAAAATATTCCTCTAGAAATACTAGAAATAACAAACTTGGGGTTGGTGCCAAGGCTGGGATTTTTGGTCCTGGCATCCCATATAGGCGCTGCCTCAAGAGCTGGCTGCTGTACTTCCCCTCCTGCTCCTTGCGTGAACCTGGGAGCAGAGGAGACACGGGAGACTGCTGGCTCCTGCCTTTGCATTGGCTCAGCTGGGGCCGCTGCCACCATCTGGGGAGTGAACCAGCAGATGGAAGGTCTTTCTGTCTCTCCTAACTCTGCCTTTCAAAAAAAAAATCTTAAAAACAGAAATCATGTGGGCCCGGCGTGATGGCGCAGTGGTTAAGGTCCTCGCCTTGCATGCCTGGGATCCCATATGGGCACCGGTTCTAATCCCGGCAGCCCCACTTCCCATCCAGCTCCCTGCCTGTCATCTTGTGTGTCAAATACTATGCATCTTTAAAAAAAACAATAAAGTGGAAACATGTATTAATTCCTCTCACATTACGTGTTTTAAGTGCAGCATTAACAAACATATCTTAGTATTATCTGTTGCTTCCTATGTTTACACAAATTTAATAATGCAGAACTGATTCGATTTACTTCCAAACTTAAACTGATGATGGAATTCTTTTTTAAGCTCCATACAGGGTCCAGCACAGTAGCCTAATAGTTGGAGTCCTTGCCTTGCATCTGACAGGATCCCACATGGGCATCAGTTAGTATCCCACCTGCTCCACTGCCTCTCCAACTCCCTGCTTGTGGCCTGGGAAAGCAGTCAAGGACAGTCCAAACCCTGGGACCCTGTACCCGTGTGGGAGAACCAGAAGAAGCTCCTGGCTCCTGCCTGCAACTCAGCTCAGCTTAGCTCAGCTCTGGCCATCGTGGCCACTTGGGGAGTGAACCGGCACATGGAATATTTTTCTGTCTCTTCTTTCTGGAAATCTGGTTTTCCAATAAAAAAAAATAAAACTTTTTTTAAAAGTTATGTGCATCCCCATCCTCAGCAGCAATATTCACAAATGCCAACCGGTGCCAACAACCCAGGCATTTGCCAACAAATGAAAGAATAAACAAAATGCTGGATGCATACAGAGCAAACACAAAATGCATAAGAGAAAACCACACCTCATTTTCCAAATGCTGAGAGCATTATGGCAGTATGCATTCAACTACATGAAGAGATAGTCACAGCGGAGCTGGTGCTTCACATTCCAAGTATTTGGGGGCATGCAGACAATCACAGTCCAAAGTATTCAACAGAAAGTTCCAGGAATAATATCTGAGAGTTTTAAGCAATCATCATTATGGTACTCTATTAGCTACAAACCTGTTACTTACAAACTTCAATATAGGTACAGAAATACAGAGAGAAAGATGGACATAGGGTTTTCCAAGCGCACAGGAAAGGGCAAGCACCTGGCCTGGCAGGCATGTTCCCAGTTGGAATAGCAGCATCCCACATTCGTCAAATAAGAAAATAAATGATTGTGACACAGCGTGTTAGTCCTTGGCCTGCAATTCTGATGTCCCATGCATAGCGCCAATTTGAGCCCCAGCTGATACACTTCTGGTCCAGTTCACTAACACGCCTGGGAAGGCAGTGGAAGGTACCCCTGATGCTTGGGGTCCCAGGAACTGATGTGGGAGAACCAGAAAAGCTCTCAGCTGCTGCCTTCAGCATGTGCAGAGCAAGCCAGCCAATGCAGGGGCTCCAACTCTGCGCCTTTAAAATCAAAGTAAACCTTTAAAGAAAATCTCAAGCTCATGAAAAATGCATATTTTGAGGCAACTATATGAATCTCAAAAAAATGTACTAATTACTTCTCTGAGAGAGAAAGAACACAAACAAAACACATTTTTTGGTGGGTGCGCTCTGCAAATGTCCTCAATTGCCAGGCTGGGCCAGGCCGAGGTGCAAAGGCAGGACAAAATTCGGGTTTCCTACCCAGTTCCTTGAGCAACAGCATGGCTTCCCTGGGGCTGCAGGAGCAGAAAGCTGGGGTCAGGGGCGGGAGCCAGGAAACCAACAGGGGCACTCCACTGGTGCCTCATCCCAGAGGCCAAGTACCCATTCACAACTGTCACTGGGGTCCTGGACTATCTCCTCCATGAATGAAAGGGAGCTACTGTACTCCAACTCACAAAAACGGGAGAAAACTAGTGGTTGCCAGAAACTGAGGGAAGCTGCCCTGGGGCTGGCTGTGCAAGGAGTATTGTACCTAATTCTACTAGATGAGTAAATTCTGGAGATGCATTGAACTGAACACCAGTGAACTATATACTTAATGGGTAAGATGGCATACTTGTGTCATATTTTTTGTTTTTAGTTTTTTTGAAAAGCAGAGTAGCGTTAGGAGATTGACTAAATTCCATCCACTGGTTCACTCCCTAAGTTACTACAACAGCTGGAATTGGGCCAGTCTGAATGAACCAGGAGCTCCAGCCAGTCTCCTTCACTGGGTCAGTGAGTAAAGCTCCTGTCTAAATCACCAGCACCCATCTGATACCAGTTTAAGTCCCAGCTGCTCGGCTCCCTTCTGATGCGTGCGGGAAGGCAAAAAACAGCTCAAATGCTTGGGGTCCCTGGACTCACATGGGTTGCCCAGACTAAGGTCCTAACCGGTCCAGTTGTGGCTGTTGTAGCCATTTGGAGAGCAAACAGGCAGGTGGAAGATCTGTCTCTCCCTC